ATAGCATAGCATAGAATAACATAGCTATAGTATAGTATAGTATAGTATAGTATAGAATACATAGAATAACATAAAATAAGTAATATAATATAATATAATAATATAATATAATATAATATAGCATAGCATAGCATAGAATAACATAACATTAATATAGTGTACTGTACTGTAGTATAGTATACATAAGTAATATAACATAATATAGCTTAGCAAACCTTGGTATAGTATAGTATAATGTAACGTAATGTAATAAAATATATGCATTGCATAACATTCAAGCTTTCTATTCTTTAATTTTTTTCTATCTTCCCCCTTTTTTTCTTCTTCGCGTTCACTTTACTAGACATTTTTTCCTCTCTGAAATGCTTTTCTGTTTCTAATTAACTCTGCAAAATCTATTCCCCAAAACCAATTCATTTATTTGGTTAATTTTATTTTATTTTAAAAAGCAAAGCTTCCTGCGGCCACTCAGGCTGCCTCGTTCTCTGCCACCCTCCACCGCAAGCAGCTGAGAAGGACGGAACTCCAACTCCCAGAAGGCCTCTGGGAAGCCGACCAGAAGGGAGCCCCGGCCTGGCTGAGAGACGGACACGTGTACAGGGGCGGAACGCGCGAGGCTTCCTGGGAGATGTAGTCCATCCCGCGCGGGAGCGCCATAAGGTCGCCCGGCAGGGAGTCGGCTGAAGAACTACAGCGGCGGAGGGAGGGCGAAGCGGGCCCGGAGCAGGAAGCGTGGGCATCACGCAGGGTGCCGGCTCGGAGTTTGCGGGCGCCCCGGTGCTCTTTGGTGGCCGGGATGCATCCCTCTTTGGCGGTGGGGCTGGTCTTTGGGGGGTGCTGCAGCAACGTGGTTTTCCTGGAGCTGCTGATCCGGTGAGTGTGGGTGCAAAGGGTGGCTAGCGAAGGAATCCTTTCCCCCGGGTTTAACAGCAGCCCCGCTTCGGCTTTCTTCTGCTGGATTGCAATGGAGGGTTGATGCTTGCCCTGATGACGTTCCCTAGTTGGGCCAGGAGACGTCTGCAAGGAAAACAGCCGGCTCTGAGAATAGTAAGGACCCTCCACAGTCTTCCTCCTCCGACAGTCTAAAAAACAACAAGGACACACTCCCTTCTAGCTCTGATGATGTTACCTAGTTGGGTTAGGAAATGTCTGTAAGAAAACAACTAAACACAGAGAGCACCATGGACCTTGCAGTCCTCCCCCTACCCTTTCTAGCACTGATGATGTTACCCAGTTGGGTCATGAAGCATCTTGTAAGAAAAGCAGAGAGAGCCAAGGACCCTGCGGTTGTAATTCTCCTCCTCCTCCCAGATTCTTTTCTGTATTGATGTTATTACCTAGTTGGGTCATGAAATGTCTTGTAAGAAAACCACCAAGCCCAGAGAGCAATAAGGACCCCACAGTCTTCCTCCTCTTCCTCCTCCTCCTCCTTCTCTTCCTCCAACACGACCACCTCTACCTCCTCCTCCCAGATTCTTTTCTGTATTGATGATATCACCTAGTTGGGTTATGAAAACTCTGGGAACCCCCCCCCCCCAAGCTCAAATAGCAATAGCAGTTAGACTTATATACCGCTTCATAGGGCTTTCAGCCCTCTCTAAGCGGTTTACAGAGTCAGCAT